AAGTTAAGAAAGATAGTGTGAACCCTTCCTCTAATGAAAAACATTTCCCTAAATTAGGGAACACGGTTGCCCAAGCCAGGGACCTGAGCGCCAGCCTGAATTCTCTCCTCTAACTAATTTTTCACACTTCAATTGCTGTGGATTCTTCTACTCAAACATTTCCTGGCTCACCCTGCCTCCAACCCCTCTTTGCCTTGCCACCAACAGGGTCCCTTCGTCCCAATTTATCCATCACCTGGGGACTGAACTGACCTAGTCACTTCCTTGCTTAGGATTCTCCATCTTGCTCTACTCTGCTTATGAGGATCAAGTCAGAGCTGTTAGGACCTGAGGTCCCTAAGAGGTAACCACCTGTTCCCTTCCCTTCAGTCTTCAGCCACTCTCTTCCCAGAATCACATGATCCAAATCTATAGATTGATTGGCAGTTTTCTTCTCTGGACCACTGTATATCCCACACTTCTTGCTGAACTCCTATTCATGTTTGTGCTCAGTTTAGYGCTGAATCCTCCAGAAAGCTTCTCACCCAGGAGGAAGTCAGGAGTGGATGTGCCTCCAATTGCTTTCTGGTGGCGCCACCTAGCGTCTCCCTCTCTCATAGCCATTCCTGCCTAAATCTTGGCCTGCTTATTCATTGTTCTCTCTCCTAGACTCATCAGGCAATCACTAGCAGGGGAGTGAGACCATATCTTGTATTTCTTGTATTCCCAGGTGTTTGTAGAATAGGAGAAAGAATGAAATAATGAGTAGAAGAGTGAACACTGAAGTATTTCTCCTCTTGCTGATGTCAGTGAAAGATCACCATTTAAAGTATAATTTGTAAAGAAGAGTTACCAAGTACTTAAAGCCTTTAAAGTACTTTGTAGTCACTATCATATTGAAATCCAAAATTTTAATGTAATTCCATGGGGCCTGATGGGAATCAAATACAGAAAAGGCTCAAGGTTTAATACCTTGTCCCTGACAGATTTGAGATTGGTTCTATCTGGCTATAAAGCCTGTGCCATTTGAATTCCTCCCTCTCCTTTTTCTCATTTATCTGTTGAGAATAAAATCAGGACTCACTTTATTAGATATTTTTGAAGCATAAATAAGTTAGCCCAAGTGGAGTGTTTGCCACAGTGAGAAGGAACTTTATAATTTCAATATGACACAAATTGTTCTTTTAGAAACATTTTTATTCGACAAAGTGCTATAAAAATATCAACTGAAATTAAAGTAAAATTTTATCTTTATGTTCTACTCATCTGTATATATCAGTGGCTTTCCTCTGGGGTTTCCCAGACTTGGCCATTTCATTAGTAATTGTCATCACATGCACATCTAATTTATTCCATCGGGCTGAAAGATGAAGTCAAATTAGGTTCTCAGATCCTAGAATGGCCAGAAGCCTGACATCCTGGGTCAGATACAGCAGGCAGGAGATTCAGGACTCAGGTCACAAGGCCCCACCCACAGCAGCAGCAGGTGGATCTTCATTCAGAATCTGATGAGTCTGGACTCACTCTCACCACCCTCTAATTGGTCACCCCAGGCTGGCTGAGTCTGGTCCACCAGAATGTTTTCCTCTGGAGGAAGCTGTCGGAGGACACTAGATGGCAGGGTATACTGTTCTCTCACACAACCTCTTATTCCTCTTTTCCCGAAGACCAGGACAGTTTAGATTTGAAATTCCAAATCCCTACTGAGGGCTGAAAGAGCACACTTTTGACTTATTTCTCTCCTATTTCCCCGCCCCCTCCCCAGAATGACAATCAAACTCATGGCTTTGTGTGTACCAGGCAAGCACTCTGCCAACTGAGCCAAATTTCTAGTGCCACCTCTGTCTCCTTTTGACTGTGTCCTGCCCCGAGAATTTCTCCATACTATTTGTTTCAACTTGTAATTTAGATGACTATAACCTGTCGGTCCATTGGAAGAGGATCACAGATGCACTGTACTAGGAAGAAAAGTGCACCAAAAGAAAACAAATGTCACCCAAAATGTAAGTGGCCTTTTAACCCAGAAGAGTAAGTGGCTGCAGATTTATGAGTGATTTTATTAAAATGTATTTTTGTCAATTACAAATGATTTTCAAAGTTTAATTAGCAGTAGCTGATTAAAATGGTCACAATAACAACTGAGAGACAAAATTTTGAGTGCTGACAACACAAAATAAAATTTATTTTCATAAAATAGTGGTTACAAACACAACCCCCCAATAATGTCATCTTATTGTTGAAAAGCTGGAAAAAAATAAAAATAGAAAGCAAGTGATTTGGCCATTTTCCCACCACCACTTTGCTCATGGTCTCCACTGTGACTCTTTCTGTTTTTCATGTGGAGATGGCATAGCTTTCAAGTCCTAAGTCTTAACCATAGCAGTACTAGATGTTGAGAAAGAGTGTACATGAGGGTGCCAAAATATCATTCTTCAAAATTTTCTATTACCTTTATGTTTGACCAGCAGGTCACCAACTCTGTACAACCTKAAGCCTGGTTCTGGGGACACTGGAAACTTTGGTTGCACGGAGCAAGCCTGGCTCTACCACAGAAGAGAAGCTCAGGAGCTGGATCTGGTGGTGGAACACCAAAGACCCATAACTTCCCTTAGGGCCAAGCCCCCTTTCCTGCCATGCCCACGGCCTTCCCTCATGGCCATCTGCCTGATTACTTAGAAGGTCCTTAGGTGCAATTAGCATAATTGAAAATAGACTTCCATTTCCCTTGGAGTCAAAGCCAGGTCTATTTCTCCAAGCTTCACTGCAGATGCGTGACCCCTTTGATGTTCTTCCCAACATCTAGGAATTTCATGGTCCTGGAGTGACCTGGTCCTGCTTCTAGGTTCTGGTCCTTGATCCAATGTAAGCTTTTTCCTTCTCTCTCTCTCTCTCTCTYTCTCTYTCTCTCTCTCTCTCTCTCTCTCTCTCTCTCTCACACACACACACACACACACACCCCTCAAAAACCATCATTTCTATTTCACACCAAGTCTCCAGAGACCGGAGAATGCCACAGTCTGGCTGGGCACAATTCAGGAGCCACTTGTCAAAAGAAACTAACTTTATTTTTAGAACCACACATGCCAAACAAAACAGCTCCTCAGGAAAAAACCCTCAGAGCCCAACTGCCACCACCAGCTTCCCACAAGCCTCTCAACCCAACACCAGCCTCTCCACCTCCCCCAATCCTCCTGCTCTTGAGGCCGATTGGCTGGGTCGCGTGGGCGGAGCCAAAGAAGTCCCCCAATGAGCAGCTCCATGGTCTGAAAGGGCAGGGAAACAGCCCAATGAGCATCACCGCAGAGGAGCCAATCAGCTAGATGTTGCTGGGGCCGCTGTGAGCCAATCATCAGCTGGCAGCTGGAAGTTTGCTGGCAGCTGGAAGTTTGCTGGGGCCCCTTTGGCTGTGGCTCTCAACAGGAGAACATCTACTGAACTCCATCCTCATATCCTTGAGTATTTTCTATGCATCTGAGACTGTGGCAAATGCATTGCTCACATGATCCCTTTTAGTCAGTCCTCTGGCAACCCATGATATCCCTCCCCATGGAGGAAGAAAAGGAAGAGAAACAACTTGCTTCAGATAACAGAGCTRTTTTGCTCTTTAAGGGACTGAAATTCTTCCACAGGACCTCTGGGTGACAAGCTCCAGTGACAACACTGAAGGGAAGCATGTGTATTCGGCAGAGTTTGCCTTTCAGTGTTTGTCTCTTCCTCCAAAGTAAGCAGCACACTCATGATTCTAGGAGGGTAAAGTGCCTACTTGGTCTGCAGCCTGACCTGTCTTCATGTTCCATCCTCATTCCCTGAAGGTGTCCAGCTTTTGACAAGTTCCTAAAAATAACAGCCTCACTTTCCACACTTCTAATTTGAAGCTAATAATTTGGGTAACTGGGTTATTTTCAGGATTTAATAAACAATGGCCATAAATCAATGCATAAGGTGCTAGAATGCAGGTGTCCCCAGCACTATGATTGGCTCATGGGTTTTGTTTTATTAGATTTTGAAAATAACGCAGTGGCATAAATAGTATGATCTCAATTTAGAAAAGTGGAAAGTGATGCTGTCATTTTAAGTAATGTGTCAAAACCTGAACACATAAATAGCATCAGGGTTGGGATTTGAAGTCAGGTTGACTGTACCCAAATCCCCTCCTTCTTTTGGACAGTCTATACTAATAAGGCCACCAGCATTCTGGTTACAAAGGAGGAAGGAATTAGCATAGAAAAGCAATCCCTGCCAAGAAGCTCACACTCCTTATCTAAACATGTCACCCAGAGTTCCTGATCAAGATTTTCACTCCTCTGAAATAGCAGGAGACTGACCTGTAAAAATTATTTTGCCCCCTTTTCTTCTCCAAAAAGGAACCTCAAGGTGTTGCATGAAATAATTGAGATCCTGTGACGAGACCACATAGAGCAGCAGCAGCAGATGGCATAGAAAACACTCAAGAAATGTGAAGTTTTATTGTCTCATCTCAAAACAGAACAGGTTGAAATAGATAATCTCTTAGAACCAGATAAAGTAAAAATTATAGAGATGACAATTTGAAAGAATTGTGTGCGTGTGTGTGTGTGTGAAGGAAGAAACCTCTGTTGGACCAACGGACAGCGAAGACCTGGAGATAGGATCAGGTCACCCTGTGCCTGTTCTGGGGAATTCCGAAATGGAGAAGACAGCTAAGGGACACATTTCAATGGAGTCCTGTAGATCTCACTGGTCTCTCTCCTTTGTCATTTGGAAGTGTCAGGGTACTGAGTTCTTGTCAATCCTTGTGAACTGATGGAAAGATTTTATGAGAGTGAAGCCTGAGTTGACTCTGCATCAATCTGAATGTTACAAACAACCCTTCCCAAGCTCTTCCCCAGGGGAAGCCAGGGGARACAGGTGGCCTACCTCTATTTTACCTCTCTTACTGTATTCTGTGTGCCTGAGGAGATTGGATTCTCCTACTTATTCTTCCCACCTTAAGGGATTTTTCTGAGGTTAATTTTCATTATTTGTCCATCTACAAGGATCACTATACTCCCAATAATCCTCTCCTCCTCCACAGATTTAATAGCTTTCAAGAGGCTCATAGATGTTTGTTTTAAACAAAACTTACTTTTTAGGAAATTTGTAGGAAATGTGTTTAAAAGGTAAAGTTCAAAACACTGGTATATTATTTTCTAAATTTCATATATGAAGTTTATGTGGGATGCTTTGTGTTTCAGATGCCAGCATCTTAGGGATGTAGTTGTATTCCTTTCAAAGTGAAAAATAAAATGCCAATTGGCATCATTATCAATTAATAGTTTGCAAGTGGTTTAAAGTAATACAACTGGAGAAGATAATATAATAGATAAAAGTACTGGAAAGAAACAAAAATATATCATATCATCTTAAAATGATAATTAGAAAATCTGAGACTCTATCAAAAACATTAGAGATATAAAGATAATGGTAATTTACATATAAGCASTAATAACTTTCTTATATATTAAAAATAGACATTTAGAAAATGCAAAGACCAAATACTTCATTTACTACAACAAAAGCAATAATAAACCAGAAGCAATATTAGAAGAATATATATAGCATCTACATTGACGTAACTATAAAAATCTACTGAAGGGTAAAAAAGAATATGTATGTTTGTGTGTTTGTGTGTGTTGCATGTGTAAAAATAAAATACATATGCTGCACACACACAAATTGTTCATGAATCATATAGAGGACATAGATGACTTTTGTTTTGATTTTTTAAACAATTTTAAAACCAGTATCTTTCTTCTCTGGGAAACTCTTCGGTCCTCACCCTCTATGGTTCTGATGAAGATCCCTATCCACTAGAGGGGCACTACACCAGTTGGAGCCCATAATGGTCCCTTGGCCTCCTGGTCACCCTAATGATCCCAGGGCCCATCAAACATCCAAATCTGTTGACTACAGTACATTTTTTCCACAGAGGAGACTAAGGGAAGTCGTCTCAATTGGCCTRGGTGAGCCACCATCTGTATGTTGGGTCTCTAAACATGACTGTGGACACATTTCTTGACACATGAAGCAGCCTTAGAGAATGAGGGTGTCACACAGGCAAAAGCTGAGACAGGAGAGAAAGAAATGGGGAAGGAAGTGGTGTGATACTTTCAAGTGTCAGGATTTTTTCAAGCACCAGGCCTTTTTTTTTAAATGAAATTTTGAGTGAAAAATGTATGATATTTTTACACTGAGTATACCATGTGCTCATTAATATAAGTAAACTAAAGTCTTATACATCCGCAAGAGTAAATAAAGCATTTGGCAGAGAAAAATTTTAAAGGCTATACATATGTAAATCCTATTTTATAAAATTTTAAAGTATGATGCATACTATATAATTATTTTTGGATGCATATATTTGCAGCATATATGAGATACATGACACCAAATTCAGGTGTAATAGTTACCCCTGGGGAAAGATGGGGAAAGAACAGTGTTTTAGTCAACTTTTTCACTGCCGTGATAAAAGGATCTGACAGATCATAAGACTCAAGGAATTTATCTATGCCTTCACTATCTTCTATTTTATTGGAGTATAAGGATTCAAAGTAATTTCTGATTATCTTCTGTATTTCTGAAGTGTCTGTTGTGATATTGCCTTTTTCATCCCGTATGCTAGTA